TTGGGTTACTTCTGAAAACATTTTCCAATAATGTATTTGAGGTCTGCCTAAACTTTAACAATATCTCACCCTTTAAAATTATTTTCTTTATTAATATTTCATCTCCTTACACTATCCCCACCCATCAGTATTTTGTCAGCAGATGTCTCAGCCTGAGAGCTTCCAGTTTGAAGTTTTCACTGAAGTGCTTGCTGGGCAGGGTAGTATACAATCCCAGTACAAGGTGGATTGAGTCAGGACGATCAAGGAGTTCAAGGCTAGTCTTGGTTACCTAGGGAGTTCCAGGCCAGCCTGGGCTATATCTGAGACCCTGTCTCAAACACACACACACACACACACACACACACACACACACACACACACACACACACACACACATACACAAAAAGAATCCCCTTTAATTCTAAGCGCTTGAGCTGGGGGTGGACCTTTGAGCTAACATAAAAGGTTACAAGCTATGTAACATCTTTTTATAAAAATATTTAATGTTTCTCTCCCTCTCTGCTCATGTGTATGTGTGTGTGTTTCATGACTTGTGTGCGGGAATGGGAAAGAGAGAGGGAACAGAGAGGGTGTGTGTGTCTTGGCTTGTGTGCAAAGGTCAGATGATTAGATGATAACCTGGGAGAGTCAGTTCTCTTCTTCACCATGTAGGCCCTAAGGATGGAAGGAATTCAGGTTATCAGGTGGTCAGTGCCTTTATCTGGAAGCCATCTTGCTAGCTCTAGATTCTTTTTCAGACTTGCTTTAGCATAGTGCTACTGTTTGTAGAATTTCTTTTATTTGCAGATTTTTTTTTTGCTCAAGGACTACAAACATATTGAACAAATTATTTACTGCAATAAAGTGTTCTGACTATTGGAAATAAGTTATTTTCAGCAGTCATGTTTGTTTAGGGTTTTGTGACAGGATGTTAGTTTCAGGTACTGAAGGTATGGTAGTTCTAGAAGTTTCTCAACTACTTGCCTACAAGACACAAAGTCCTGGGTTTGATTCCTAGAGTCATATAGTCAGATTTGGTGGTGTATATGCATGTAACCCCAGCATTGGGGCAAGTAGAGACTGGAGGATCAGAAATTCAAGATCATCCTTGGCTACATAGTCAGTCCCTATGGAGATGGGCTGCATGAGACCCTATCTCAAAAGAGAAAAAAAGGTCTCAGTTAAATTTTGGAGGTTCCCCCCCCCTGAATTTTTTCACTTACTTCTCTCCCACCCCTCGCCCACCATTTCCTAACATACTGTCTTCTGGGTCTGACCTCTGTGGTAGCTAGTGTTCTCATCACCTTGACAGAATAACTGCAGAAGCAGATTACATGAGGTGGCCTTGGTTTTGGTTCACAGTGTGAGTCCATCATGCCAGGAAGGCCTGGCAGCTGGAGGTGCTCAGCCTCTGGCAGCAGGCTCATGTAGTGGCTGGTCATCGTGAAGAGAGGCAAGAAGCAGAGATAGATCTTAGGCTAGATGCAGAGCCTAAGGGTCCACTGCTGCCAACCATTCTCTTCCACCCAGAGCTTATAACTCCCGAAACAGTGCCACCAACGAGGGACCAAGTGCGGGGATAATGAGTTATACTAAGTAATGACAGCCTGTTGTTTAAATTTTAGGCATGATCTTCAGATGTACAGAAAAGTTGAAAGCATAGTACAAATAACCCCTTTATATTATTTATACATGTATACCAAATTCTAATGCTGCCACATTTTTATCTCTGTACATGCACACTCATATTTAACTTTTTCTGAACAATTTTAAAGACTTAATACATAATATAAGATCAAATACAGTAACTGAATGAATAAAGAAATGGACATATCAATATGATATAATATAGAATAGTGTAGTATAACAGTATTTTCAATAAAAAGAAAAATTATGGTGGCTTATATATATTACCCCAGCACATGGGAAGCCAAGGGTTGCTGTGAGTTTGAAGCATTGGCTATATAATGAGTTCCATGGGAAGCCAAGGGTTGCTGTGAGTTTGAAGCATTGGCTATATAATGAGTTCCAAATCAACCTGAGCTCCAGTGTGAGACTGTATCTCACTCAAATGAGACAAGGAGAAAGGGAGATGCTAATATAATAACAACCTGTGTAGATCCCCCAAAAAGCTATGGTAGACAGGAGGGAAAAAAAGGACGGACTCAAATGATTGTTATATGGCCCATTATGTGATGTTCTGGAAAGGACAAAACTTTTGAGCTAAAAAAGTAAATAAATAAATGGTTTTCAGTGGGGAGAAGGTTGACCATAAAATTTTGGGGGTGTGGTAAAATTGTTTCAGAACTTGGCTGTGTTACAGGTACACAGTTATATACTTTTTTCCCAAAAATCCAAAAAGAATGAATGTGAAATGTAAAGTTGGAAAACATTTTAGAATTTAATATTAGCACATATAAAAGGCGTTACTCAGATTCTTTTCCCAGTTGTTCAATATTGGCCTTTATGGAGAAAAAAATCTCAGATCACATATTAAAAATAACATTCATGTCTCTTTAGTTGTCTTTTAATCAGAAACAGTTACTTCTTTATATTTTGTGGCCTTGGCTTTTGTTGTTACTGAATTCAGAATAGTAGTCTTACTACTCATTTTGGGTTACCATGATGTTCTCTTAGTGAGTAGATAGGTGGGAGGAGGTGCATCCATGTGCACTTGTGTGTTACAGCACTTACATGGTGGTCAGAAGACAACCTGGGGTGTCGGTCCTCACCTACCTTCTACCTTGTTTGAGAGGGGTCCTTGTTCACTACTGTGTTTGGCAGGCTAGCTAGCCCATAAGCTGTCTGTTTCCTGTCTTGAAGGAGTGCTGAGATTACAGATGTTCAAAGTGCCCAGCTTTATATGAATTTTGGGGATCCAAACTCATATCTTCTTGCTTGCACAGCAAGCGCTTTTACCCATTTAGCCAGCTATCTCCCCAACCCAGGACAGATGTTTTCCTGTTTGGGACAAGGAAACTTCAAGGCTATTCATCCTAAATGTGTTCATTTATCTTGACTTTTTCATTTGTATATGTGTGGGTGTTTAGCCAGAATGTATGTCTGTGTTCTATGTGGGTGCCTAGTGCCTGTGGAGGTAGGTAGAGGGCATCAGATCACCTGGAACTGAAGCTACAGACAATTGTGAGCTGCCATGTGGGTGCTGGGAATTGAACCCTGATCCTCTGGAAGAGCTTCTGCAAATCCATCTCTCTCTATGTACCAAGAATTGTATTATTAGTGGGTTTTTTTTGCCAGATTTCTCCACTGTAGACAAGTATCTTAAGGAGATACATTTGAAATTATGTAACAATCCTACTATTTTTAAAAGGTTCACCTGCTAGTTTGGTAGCTCCTTGATGTGCCTTCCCTGTGTCAACTAGTTACTCTTGAGTTTATTGATTGTAACTTAGTTTGTTGACTAGAGCAGTTAGTCCTTTTCTTGCTGGGATTCCTTCTCACTTGGGGTGCAGACAGTAAGTAATTGAGCTCTTGTGAGTGTTAGTGGAGGGGTTCCTGAGGACCACCAAGGTGACCTATTAGGCTCATGTGACAGTTTCATCACTCATTGTTACTCTCATGTTGAAAGTGATAATTCATCTCTAATTCACAGGCACTCCGCATTTCTCCTTCAATATTAGCCAACAACCAGTTCCTTGCTCCTATATCCTAATCACTTAGCACTGTTACCTCTGTTTTATATAACTGTTGTGCTGGATATTTCATTTTGGTTGGCTTTCTTTTAATGGGTTGGTCAGAAAAGGTGTTTGGTTAATCTATCAAAAAAGAACTAGCTCTGACCATGCTTACAGGTTTTTCTTCCTTTTTCTTGTAAAGAATTCTTCTTAACAATAACACCTAGCCCAGCACTCTGGTAGAGACATGTAGATCTCCATGATCCTTCTACATTGTGAGTTCTAGGCCAGCCAAGGCTGCAGAGGGAGACCCTGTCTCAAACAGTTTCCTCATTTGTAGTGCTTTATAGTCATTAACTCAACAACTCTTAGGCCAATTTTCATTCCTTTCTTTCCTCCCAAAACAATATATTATATGTTGGTTTACAGCAGAGTGGTGGTTATATAATAGTTTCATACATGCATGAAATTTTCCAGATAAATTCATATTTAGATTCAGGAAATATGTCCCAAATCTAAAATTAAAGTAACACCTGTTAGAATATGATGATCTTATATAATGTAACAAATTAATTGAGATCTTCTGTGTTTGTTTTGTAAATGGTTAACAGTTGTCCTTGTTTTGTTCATTAGCGAGGGTCTCATTAGGCAGACCAGACTGGCCTCAAACTTGAAACTCAAGAGAACCTCCTGTCTGTCTCTCAAGTGTTGTGATTAAAGGCATAGGCTGCCATGCTCAGCTGGTTTTGAGCACCTTTGAATCTGTTTTTAATTTAATTATTCCTCCTTAGTATATAAAAATCTCGTTGATATTTTAGGATTTTGTAGCTCCTGTTTGAAGTGATAGTGACAAAAAAATAGACCCTAATCTTAAATCCTAGATTGTTACTTGTGTTAATAGGAATTGTGCTTCTCTTGTATAAAAAAGAAAATCAAATGTGAGATGAGAACAAGAGATTGATCCTTCTAAGAGTCCAGACTTGGAGATCAGTATGAAACAGACATTCATAGTAGTTGAAGACTGATTACTTAAAGAGAAAGTAATAATCACAGTTGAAATTGTCATCAGCCAAATGTGACCTAGGACTTTCTTATCAGTCCAGTATCAAAGTATGATAAACTAGACTTCATGTCAATGTGATCCTCCTGGGTAGCGTTCAAACAGACAGAATTCCTTCCACCCAGATCCCAACATGAATTTATTTATATACATGGGCATATGGTTTCCTTTACATGTGTGTATGTCTGTATGTATATAAATCTTCAAATGCATAAATATACATGGTGTTCTAGCTTGCAGGATTAGAAATGTAATTCAGTTTACTCCCACAGAATAAGATTGAAGATAATGAGAACTGAATTAAAGCTTACTTTCTTTCACAGAATTCCTCAGAGAGAGAAGACTGTAATAATGGCGAACCCCCTAGGAAGATAATACCAGAGAAGAATTCACTTAGACAGGTATGAAATTCAGTCTTACTTAAAATAAAAGCTTTCAACAACAAAGCAAAAGACAGGAAGCCTTTGACTGTTGTTCTTTAAACACTGGAGTTTAAATCAAGAGCCTGTATCCTGGAGTTAGTCTCGCCATAGCCATCAGTTTAAATCAGGTAGTATTATTTCTCAATCATTAAAAAATATCCTGGATGCAGAAGTACAAGACAGTGTGTGTGTGTGTGTGTGTGTGTGTGTGTGTGTGTGTGTGTGTGTGTGTGTATGTGTATGTGTATGATATTTAAATTAAAGTAAAAAAGTCTTGTTTAGGCAAGATGACCTTAAGCGCTTTGTAGAATGTACATGGAATAGTTAACACTAATTTATATTTCCCAGTAAAGAGTATTTGTACATTTTAATTTTAAAATAAATAGCTCATTAAATAGCCTAGGCTAGAAGGCTTGATATAATAGTTCTCACGCCTCAGTATCCTGAGTGCTGGGATTATAAGCCTGTACCTCATGCCTCACCAAGGTTCATCATACATTTACATAATAGTAATAATAACAACAACAACAATAATACTAATAATAACAGATCTGTAACAAAGATGGTTTCTTTTAGTTTGAATTTGTTTAATTTATTAAGTTTTTCTAAAATTGAAGTCCACTAATGATGATTACTTTTAAAACATTTTTTTGTGGAACTGTGTTTGAAATGCTTGCCATGGAAGCAAGAGGACCAGAGTTCAGATCCCCAGAACCCATGAGTGTGGCAGACCACCTGTAATCCAGCACTGTGAAGGCAGAGACAGGATCCCAGGAGAGGTTCTCCATGACTAAGGTGCAGAGTGACTGAGGACCTTTGCACACACACACATGCTTACATGGTACACACACAGGGGAGAAAGAGAAAACTCTAAACCCCTTTCTTTCCTCGGGTTTCTGTGCCCTGCTTCCCAGAGATAATGTGTTTTACTTTATTTTTAATTAAGATATCCAAAATAGTGACTTTAAAAAAAATGCCCTCAATATTGTAACCTATAATACCTTCATTATTTACTAGAACTAGACAAATAATTAAATTGTTTGTTTATTAAATGATAGCTAGAAAATAAATGTCACAATTATTTTTAATATAAAATTATATAAAATGAATGCCAGCAGCAATGCAAATAATTTTAATTTGTTGTGTTTATGGCCTTGTTCCAGTACATAGGAGGGCAGTGATGTAGTTTTTGAGGGATACCCACAATGAGCATGTGTATTTCATTTAATCCTGTGTTGACTCTGCTGAATTGGTAGATGTGTGATTTCCAGTTTCCTGATGAAGCTGATGGAGGCTTGAAGGACTTAGACTTGACCAGAGCTGCTCATTGATTTGGAACTCAGACTGTTTCCAAAAAATTTCCACTTCTGCCTCCCAAGCCCAGTTTTCGTAGCTTTAACATAAAGGGAAAGTACTTGAAAACATGCCACAATCATTTTTCATTTATTATATGTTAACACTTTTTTGGATAGGCTCTTTTCCAATTTTTTTATGAAAATAATTGATTTTAGATAGAATTGAGTCAATATTTGCTTCCAAAACAAACAAATTGATGTTGAAGCGGTTAGTTTAGTTATTTGGAGATAGACACCAGATCTGTATGCTAAATGTTGAGTAAGGTAAACTTAGAGATGGAAACTCTCTGTCCACTCTACAGAAGCAACTGTCAAAAAAACAATGACACGTCAGAAAGTTTTGGCAACTTTATTTAAGCTAACAAACGAATTTTCACTCTGCAAAGTTATAAATTAATTTTAATAGGCTGATCCAGATGGTCCATTTGGAAAATGGATAGGCTGATCTGTTGAAAATTAAACTAAATTTATCTCTCTCATACTTCAAACTGAAGCAAGAGAGAGAATCGTGCCTATTAAGTCCAGCACATACAGATGGACCAGCAGGTCACACATGGGACTAATCTGATTCATTTTAAAAATAAATGCATACATTATTGAATCATTTTCTTCTTGCAAGAGCTGTTGTGTGCAGTATTTGAAAGAGATTTAATGTTTTTTTTTCTCGTTGCTGTTTTATCAGGTTCTCTTCACCCTCTCTGCTTTAATTTACTCGTCCCCCCATTTCTTCAGAATGATTTTTCTAATATCTGTCATTCAGGGTTGAGATCCAAGCTCTGGAGATTAATTAGGTCATGAGGCTTTCCCCCCTCCCTTCTTTGTAAAGGGTTTTATCTCCATTCTCTTTGTGAAGAGCATGAACTCCGTGTTCTTGGAAAGAGAAATGGCCTTTAGAATTAGAGAAGTAGGAGATCCTCCTGGGGCCCTCAGAGCCTTTTAGCTGCTGGGTGTTTTAACAGCCCCATGAATGCAGATTTGTAAATTTATTGCAGTGCCATCTGGTTTTTTGCTCGAACCAGATTACTGTTGGCTTGTGTCTGTCTATTGTGGTGGTCACTCCCTAGGAGCTTGCCCTCTCAGTCTTGAGAAGAGTGATGAATAGCGGGGGTCAGTAGAAGCGGGTCACAGGGCAGCTGTCCAGGACTGCCCTGAACTTGATTACCCCTCTGCTGGTTTTTTTTTTTAAGCTAGTACATAATACACAAGCTGTTTAAACTCCTCTTTTTCTCTGTTGCATTTGACAATAAGGAAATGCCATTTGTTATTTTGTTTGTCTATTGTCATGATCTATAGATAAAAAGATGTCAAGGCCAGCCTAAAGTGAGTGTAGCTTCATTGGGCCAGTCTCTTAAGTTGAATTTCATTTGCACATATTTCTAATAAAATTTCAAGAATCTATTACCCTTAAATATAAAAAATTCGCTTGTACTCTAACAACCTAATATTGTTATAGCTAAGCCTTATAGTTTATGTAGATTATTCTTAGGCAAAGGCTTGCCATTGTTGATGGGGCATGGCTACTACATTAGTTTGGAAAGCTTTTTTAATGTTGGAGTAGCTAAAAGAAGGGTTATCACTGTAATTCTGAAAGACATTAAAAGAAAAATAGAATATTATAAATCACTTAATGCCAAAAATTGACTAGATTAAATGGAAAGATTCTTTGAAAATACAACTTACAAAATTAACACAAGGTAAAAGAAAGTTTTGTCTATTAAATATAATATTTTAGCTATCAAAATGTTCATATGGTTTCACTGGTGAATTTTTTAAAAATTTAAAACAGAAGTAATAGCAATATTGTACTACAAGCCCACTCTTAAAGCACAAAAGGAAAGACTACCTTGTGGCTTGTAAGACTGCCATAATAGCACTTCCAAAACTTGACAGAGAAATTACCAGAAATAGTGAAGGAGAAAGTTGAGAGATTCAATTCCTTTTGTCATCATTTGGAATTAAGTATGAAGTTTTAAAAAGTATGACATAGATACAATTTTCTTTCTGCTTTTTACTCCTAAACTGTGTGGCTGTGGAAACCATAGTATTTTATAGTTTTTATCCCGTGTGTGACTGAGGAGTGGGAAGGCCGCAGAAGATATGTGAAAGTGCGCTTTACTTTTTGAAAATGCAGCGTTACAGCATGCAGCTCTTCTTTGCTCACATCGGAGCTAATAGGATCTGTCAGCTCTCCCTTTCTCTGTAATTGAGTAAATTGTGGCTGCTGCCTAATTCTTCTCCGTCCTCCCCCCTTTGTGTGTGTGTTCACTCACCATCCTGAGAAGGTGGGCAGTGATAAATAAAGCATTGAGTGGAGCTCTCTCAACTCTTTGAAAGCAGCATGATGCCAGCCCTCTAGTTATATTTCTTTAAGTGTTTACATTTTCCTGTATTCTTTCTCTTGTGTAGCTGGAACCCTGGGGATGCAAAGCCATGAGAGAGGCCAAGAAGCTAACAAAGTAGCTGTCTCCCTTGTTAGCTTGTTCCTTTATTCTTTAAAAACAAGATAAAAACCATCTGGCTCAGGGCATTACATTTTCCTCCCCTGTGCACCTCTATAGATGGAGACTTCACCTGCAGTGAGGGTTTACATTGATTAGGGAGGGAGCAGTAATTCAAGTTTCCATCCTCTTCAAGGATACTTTGCAGTCTTTAAAGGTGCTGACCCACTGAGTTAAACTGTCAAGTGAGGATAAAAAAGTATCTTCATCCCAGGAGGTAACAGCTGCCAGGTTTTCAACACCTTGCATGTTGCTGGAAAAAAAAATGTCACAATTGTCAGCCAAAGAAAAATGAATCTGTTGTCATCTTCTGTTAAGACTGGGCCTTACAAAAGAAACCACACAGGTCTTTTGGAAGAAATAAGTAACTGTTTCCCTTGCCTGAGATTTTCTTCTCCCCTGATAAAAATCTCTGCATTGTTCTAAACCTCACCATGGGGGAATGTAACATTAATAAGAGCTAACAGAGTCATGGGCGGGCTTGGCTCCTTTCTACAGTTGGGCACTTATGAAGAAGATGCCCATCCCAGACATAGAAAATGACGTCAGAGTGTGGGTTAACAAAACAGCAAGTCATGTATGAGCCAGTGAGCTGAGAAGACACACGGTGTCTGTTCTTTGGAGGGCAGTTTGTTGTCAGGCAGCATCCAGGTGGGGAAAGTGCAATGATTTTGCTTTTTCAAGAATCACTTCTCCTTAAAGAAAGGAATGAAACCTCACAGAATCCACTTCCTTTACCAGATTCAGTGTTCAAGTATGATGGCATTCTCTTCTTTCTGATTTAATTAATGGGGGGAGGCTTAATGAAGTCCCTGCTATCAGGCAGGCAGTTTTTCCTTCTATTTGTTTTAGGTTAGTCATTTTAATTGTATTGAGTAATTAGAAGGTCTACACAGCCAAGGGAGCTTTGTTCTCATAATTGCTCAAGAAAACCCATTCCCTCTCTGCTGTTGCTTTGTGTTAAGACACTTCTCCCTCTAGTGGCAATAGGAAGCACTTTGGCTTGGCAGTAGGCAAGGTGTAATTGCAACATGATAAACTATGCTTAAGGGACTATCTTGTAAATACTTTATGCTTCAGCATTATTTCATTGTATGTATGTTTTACCCTTTGGAACTTCCTACCT